CATGGTGTCTTTATTTCTCCATCTCTACTTGCTGGTTTGTTTGTTTAATCTCTTTTATATCTCAAAAGAGATTGACTTGACACACCCTACACTAATTCCACCTCATTAACAAAGACAGGTCATTCCCAAATGGGGTTATCACCACAGGCATAGAGACTAGGATTTACAACATATATTTTGGGGGGACCCAATTCAATCCTTAACAACTTCACTCCCAAAAGAGACTGAATTTGACCATTTCCCACTACCTACACTGCTACAACTTTTGTCCAAACTACCACCATCTCTCACTTGGTCTATTCAATACTTTTCCACTGGTATCTTATTTCTACTCTTGTACCACACTTTTATCCTCCTCACAATGGCTTAGAATTAAATCCAAAGTTTTTACCAGGGCCTGTGAGGCCCTAGCCAGTCTCTGCCTCTGGGGAGCCCACTTCATTATTCCACTTCAGACACACACTCTACAAGTAGAGTACAGGTAGAGCAAAGAGAAAGCAAGGTTGAATTAAGCTTTCCTTGGGTGGTATATGTCCTCTGCAACAACATACTTTCAAGCAGTCACTTGGTTGAACCAGTTTTAGAGAGGATGACAGTGGAGAAATCATCTTTGGAGATCACTAGCAAGGCAAAGAGGCCAGATTTATGGACTCTATAATGAAATATTACTCAGTTCCTGATGGGGACAGGGAAGCAAGTTTACTGAATAAAATAATATAGAATATATATTTCAAGTGAACTCTCTTGTTACTAATTAAATTCATTAGTTGATTAGTATATTCCAGCATAAGCCCCAAAACTAAACCCATTGTTGTGGAGTCTATTAATTCCACCATAAGCCAATGTAAAACAGTCATTTCAATACGTTTGTTTCAATTTAGGATTCTTTAAACCGTTAGCCAGGGAAACATTCACTAACATTGTTTTTAGGGGTACTATCAACCCCTGCCTGGGGCTGGGGGCTGCTTTTTGCTTGGGGGCAGCTCTATATTAAGGCGAGGGCCTGAGGTAGGTGGGCCTAGGGCTTGGAGGCTGCTTTCCACTTGGGGGTGGCTCTATTTTAAGGCAATTGCCTGAGGTAGGCAGGTGCAGAGGGGTTAGAAACAACTAAGGAAGACAAATTTGCCTGTCAGTTTGTCTTACCTGTGATGGCTTACATGTTGCTGTGAGGCTGGAGGCTACGCTACTGTGTTGCAAAATGCTAGCAGGCTTACCCATGGTGGACAGGTTTCCGTGGAGCTTCCAGGCTAAGACAGACTCAGATGAAGGGAGAGGCCATCCACTTCTCAAACAATTGGCCAGTAAAAACTTATGAATAGCAATGAACTCCTGTCTGATATGTTACTGGGACACCTTATTAATAGCCCTGAAACATTGTCCGATGCAGTGCTGGAAGATGAGCCCATCAGGTCAGAAGGCACTCAAAATTTGTCTGGGGAAGAGCTGACTCCTCAGAGTAGAGACAATCTTACCAATATGGATAGAGTAAAGCTTTCAGGACCTCCATTGGCTGATGTGGCATGACTCCAAATGAGTAGAAACAGATGCAAACTTCCATTAATAATGGGAGTATGGAACGTATGAAGTATGAATCTAGGAAAATTTGAAGTTATCAAAAATGAAATGGAACACATAAAGATTGATATCCTAGGCATTAGTGAGCTGAAACAGACTGATTTGGGCCATTTCCACATGATCTACTATGCTGGGAATAACAAATTGAAGAGGAATGGTGTGGCATTCATCCTCAGAAAGAGTGTTTCAAGATCTGTACTAAAGTACAATGCTGTCAGTGATAAGATAATACTCTGGTAGCGTAGTGCCTAAGGCACTTGACTGCTAACCAGAAGGCTGGTGGTTCAAACCCAACAGCCACTCCTCGGAAGGAAGGTTAGGCAATCTACTTCTGTAGTGATACTGCCCTGGAAACTCAAGGAAGGGTCACTATGAGTCAGGTCCGACTCAACGGCACATAACACAACACAACACAACACAACATAACATAACAAGGAAGACCAGTTGATACAACTATTATTCAATTTGCACACCAACTGCTAAAGCCAAAGATGAGGAAATTGAAGATTTTTACCAACTTCTGAAGTCTGAAATTGACAGAACATGCAATCAAGATGTTGATTGTCACTGGTGACTGGAATGCAAAAGTTGGAAACAAAGAAGAGTTACTGGTAGTTGGAAAATATGGCCTTACTGATAGAAATAATGCTGGAGATCGCATGATAGAATTTTGCAAGACCAACGACTTATTCATTGCAAATAACTTTTATCAACAACATAAGTGATTATTATACACATGTACTTCACCAGATGGAATACACAGGAATCAGATTGACTCCATCTGTGGCAAGAGGTAATGGAGAAGTTCAATATCTTCACCCGAAACAAGGTCAGTAGCTGATTATGGAACAGACCATCAACTTGCTTGCTTATATGCACATTCAAGCCAAAGTTGAAGACAATTAAAACAAGTCAACAAGAGCCAAATTTTGACCTTGATAATATCCCTCCTGAATTTAGAGACCATTTAAAGAATAGATTTGATGCATTGAACACCAATGACCGAAAACCAGAGGAATTGTGGGATGACATCAAGAATGTCATCCATGAAAAAAGCAAGAGGTCATTAAAAAGATGAGAAAGGAAGAAAAGACCAAAATGGATGTCAGAAGAGACTCTGAATATTGCCATTGAATGAAGAGGAGCTAAAGCAAATGGAAGAAATGACAAGATAAAAGAGCTGAACTGAAGATTTCAAAGAGCAGCTTGACCATATAAAGCCAATTACTATAATGAAATGTGCAAAGACCTGGAGTTAGAAAACCAAAAATGAAGAACACACTCAGCATTTCTCAAGCTGGAAGAACTAAGGAAAAAATTTAAACCTTCAGTTGCAATATTGAAAGATTCTATGGGCAAAATACTGACTGATGAAGGAAACATCAAAAGAAGATGGAAGGAATACACAGAATCACTGTACCAAAAGGAACTGGTCGATATTCATCCTTTTCAAGAGGTGGCATATGATCAAGAACCAATGGGATTAAAGGAAGAAGTCGAAGCTGCACTGAAGGAACTGGAAAAGAACAAGGCTCCAGGAATTGACAGAATACTCATGGAGATGTTTCAACAAACAGGTGCCCCACTGGAGGCACTCATTTTGTTATGCCAAGAGATTTGGAAGACAGCTACCTGGCCAACTGACTGGAAGAGATCCATATATGTATACTCTCCAAAGAAAGGTGATCCCACAGATTGTGGAAATTATCCAACATTATAATTAATAATACATTCAAGTAAAGTCTTAGTGAACATAATTCAAAAATGGTTGCACAGTATATTGACAGAGAGCTCCCACAAATGCAAGCTGGATTCAGAAGAGGACATGAAACAAGGGATATCATTGCTGATGTCAAATGGATCTTAGCTGAAAGCAAAGAATACCAGAAAGATGCTTGCTTATGTTTTCTTGACTAGGCAAGAGCATTCAATTGTGTGGATAATAACAAATTATGGATAGCATTTGGAAGAATGGGAATTCCAGAACACTTGATTATACTCATGAGGAACCTGTACATAGACCAAGGACGCTGTTGTTCGAACAGAACAAGAGGATACTGCATGGCTCAAAATCAAGAAGGGAGTGTGTTAAGGCTGTATCCTTTCACCATACTTATTCAACTCGTATGCTGAGCAAATAATCCAAGAGGCTGGATTATCTGAAGAATGTGGTATTAGGATTGGAGGAAGACTCATTAACAACCAGCAATACAAAGATGACACAACTTTGCTTGCCGAAAGTGAGGATGACTTGAAATTCTTACTAATGAAGATTAAAGACCACAGTCTGCAGTATGGATTACACTTCAATATAAAGAAAACAAAAATCCTAACAACTGGTCCAAAAAGCAGCTTCATGGTGGATGGAGAAAAGATTGAAGTTGTCAAAGACTTCATACTACTTGGTTCTACAACCAACACCAATGGAAGCAGTAGTCAAGACATCAGAAGACATTGCATTGGGCAAATCTGCTGCAACAGACTTCTTTCAAGTACTGAAGAGCAAAGATGTTGCCTTGGAGACTAAGATGTGCCTAACCCAATCCATGGTATTTTCAGTAGCCTCTTATGCATGTGAGAGCTGGAGAATGAATAAGGATGACCAAAGAAGAGTTGATGTTTTTGAGTTGTAGTGTTGGAGAAGAAAGCTAAGAGTACCATGGTCTGTTAAAAAGACTAACAAATCTGTCCTGGAAGAATTGCAGCCGGAATGTTCCTTGGCAGCAAGAATGGCCAGACTTTGTCTCACTTACTTTGGTCATGTTATTAGAAGGAACCATCCCTGCAATAGGATATCATGCTTAGTAAAGTGGAGGGTCAACAGAAGAGGGGAAGGCACTCAACAAGATGGATAGACGTAGTGGCTGCAACGATGGGCTCAGGTGTGGCAAGGATTGTAAAGCTGGCACAAGACCAGGAGTGTTTCGTTCTGCTGCACATAGGGTCACTATGAGTTGGAGATGATTTGATGGCACCTAACAACAACAATCAACCCTTTTGTAGACTTTCCATTATTACACTAGACAAAAATATTTGGGTAACTATGTATTTTGTCAGTACAGTTCTCTTTCCAATTTACCTGTGATTTAGTTGAGAGTTATTCTAAGAAATCCTCAGCCTCCTTTAATTGTCACTATTTTTACCTGAATTTCCAGGTGGCTACACTTAACCACCCATTAATTTAGATTCCATGCAACAGTTACTTGCTGAGACAATCACTTCACTGCTATCATAAATCCTGACTTGATCTAATTTAAGAATTTAGCAGATTAAAACATATTTTATCATCCATCTAAGGAGCTAAAAACAGAAAGTTAAGATGTAGCTCTCATCTTAACTATGTCAACAGTTTGTATGGAAAGAAACATGTTTTCCATTCAGAAGACATATGGCTGAACATCATTATTAAAATCTTAGTGTCATACCTCTCGAATAGCAGTACAAAACTCACTCTGCAGCACTTTTTTGAGGGATTGTAACTTGTGCACTGGTACTTCTCCAGATTCCTGTAGTTTCTCCAGTAGTTCAATTGCTCTCGCAACATCTGAATGGGGGAGAAAAAAGGAAAGAGAGACCTAGAGTAAATTGTATCTATTAGTAAAGTAGTATTATTCCAAATGAATAGTGACTATGAAAGGCAAGAGGAATCTATTACAAAATCAAAATTTATAATTCATAGCTTATCAATCTCATTTCTTGGTAACAGGTCCTTTGCATAATGCCACGAGAAATGTTTATGTTCCACAAAATTTTTCACTTAATACACCTTCTTTTATAGTATTTAATAAATTAGTTTGACTATTCTTTAAAATGTCTTCTACTTATTGTGGTACCCCAACAAACAAATAAGTCCTGTCAATATTACTTCTAAGATTTTTTTTTATTATTATTTTGACCTTTCAATTCCCATGTCATATTTATCACAGCAGCAATTTCACATTTTGTAAGATAGTTTGATAAATGTGCATAATTTCCACTAGTTTGTAAGCTCCTTGATGGTAGGAACCTGTCTGGTTTTGGTCACCACTGGATTCTCTCAAAGGAGTTCTGGTGGCTCAGTACTTAAGGCATTTGACTGCTAACCAGAAGGTTAGTGGTTTAAACCCACCAGCCACTCCATGGAAGAAATATGGGTCAATCTTTTTCTGTAAAGATTTACAGCAGGGTTGCTATGAGTCGGAATTGACGGTTGATGGCAGTGAGTTTGTTTTTTTGTTTGCAATCTCTCAAAGTCTAGTGTATGACAGTAAATAAATATTTGATCAATAAATTAATGAATGACACCCCCCCAAAAAAAAACCCACAACTCATAGCAATCCTATAAGACAGAGTAGAACTGCCACACAAGCTATCCATGGCTGTAAATCTTTACAAAAGTAGACCACCACATTTTTCTCCCATGGAGTGGCTAGTGAGTTTGAATTGCCAGTCTTTCAGTTAACAGCCAAGCACTTAACCACTACACTACCAGGGTTCCCTGATTAATGAATAGACTACCCCATTTTATAGCCATTCTTTAGTCCAAGTGCTCATCACCTCTTTTCAGACAACTGGAATAATATTTTCTCCTCCAGACTCATCATGTGGTCCACAAAGTTTCCTTCCTCAAATAAAAATTCAAACATGTACTTATTTTCCAGCTTCTTAAACATAGGACCAAGTAAAAGAAAGAGTTTTCAATATTAATATAAATACTTTTGTTTCATTCTACAATATCAAAAGCTAATGTATCAGTAAACATGGAATCTTGTATAGTCACAAGCTTAAAATTCCTTGTGTGGTTCCTAACAGACTGTCCAAAGAAAATGATACAAAGAAGGGCCATTAAAAAAATCCTATGGCAAACTCTTCTACTTGTGTTGCTGCAGTCAATCTCACTGAAAATTCACTTTGACATTTATGTAGTAGGATAGGAGGGTTTTCATTCCTAGATGATTAGCTCCAGAACGTTTCCCATATCTATGCCATAAATTTATTTATTTACTCATCCATCCATTAATAATTTGAGTTTTGGCTATACCTGACATTAAGCTTAATATGAATAAGGCACACCTCCTCTCTGACCACATGCAGCTCACAACATAAAGAGAAAGGAATATCATCTCTAGGTACCAGGAATAAAATTTCTACCACCTCAGAATTCAAGTGAGGATGGAAGTTGGTGTAAATATCTCTTCAAATAACGAGAAAGTGAGTTTAATAGAGATTCTCTTTTGAAGTAGTTCTTTTGATTGCCCAGTATGGCCCAAAGTAGCATACTTGAAATCAACATGACATCACCAGTTTCCAAAGTCTGCATTTTTATACAAAAATTGGAAGTCACAAAAGTCAAATGGACAATACCAATCACATCCAAAAATCAATAAAGTACAAAACTGGGAATTTTATGAGTTTTAAACTTCATAGTCCTTTACCTAGGTGTCCAAAGGTGCCTGTTGTTGTTGTTATGTGATATCTAGTCAGACCTGACTCATAGAGACCCCTCCTTGGGTTTCCGAGGCAATATCACTAAGGAAGTAGATTGCCCAACTTTCCTTCTGGGGAGTGGCTGGTGGGTTTGAACTGCCAGCCTTCTGGTTAGCAGTCAAGTGCCTAAGACACTACGCTACCAGAGCTCCCAAAAGTGCATAGAACCCTCTATATGTTTAAAACTAAACTCATTATTATTATTATTTTGTGAAAGTACTTCCTCTCTTTCTATATTCCAGTAATAGTTTTCATTAATAGTATCCCCACTCAGCCTGTCTCTGAAGTTAGACTACATCTTATTTTTCACACTCACTACCACATACAGTTGGGAGTTCTGGTGGCATAGTGCCTAAGGAATTTGACTGCTAACCAGATGGCTGGTGGTTCAAACCCACCAGCCACTCCTTGGAAGGAAGGATGGCAATCTACTTCTGTAGTGATAGCCCCTCAGAAACCCAAGGAGGGGTCACCATGAGTTGTTTCCAACTCGATGGCAAACACAACAACAACAACAACAATCACCACATACAGTTAGTTATTCAGCAAGTGCTATAGATTCAGTCTCAGAAATGTCTTTTGAATTAAGCTCCTCACTTCACTAGTTGAAGAATGCCCTTCATCATCTCTCCTCTGATCTCCTAACTGTTCTTTAAATTAGTCTTTTATTTTTCAGTCTATCTTCTACACTGTTTACCACAGTGATTGTCCTGAATGATAAATCTCATCATATACTCTCTCACTTAAAACCTTCTTTGGCTTCTCACTGCCTATAGGGTAAAGTTCAGATCACTTAAGATTATATAATGTGCCCTTACCAATCTAGATCTTCTAACTCATTTCTGGACACTTCCTCCTGATTATCTCATACTATGGCCATAGTCATACATTTGCTTTTGCTAGGACATGCAACAGAATCCCAGCTCTCTATGGCTTTGCACATATTGCTCCCTGTTCCTGGAATGCGAATCATTCATTCATTCATGCCAGGTACTGTGCTGGATATGAGAGACACAATGGTAAAAAAGACAACCATTGTTCTTGTTTTCGTGAAACTTACAAACCTAAAGGGTCACGGAATGAAATTAAGAAGGTGTGTGCTATTAAAAAAAAAAAAAAAAAATCTACAGGCTGATACACAGATATAAAGCAAAGACACTTAATTGTCTTTCATGAAGTCAGGGAGGACCTGACTTTGTGGATGTACCAGCTAAACAGAGTCCTAGACAGGAGGTCCAGGCAGGGGTAAGAAGGAGACTATACCAGGCAAAGGAAACAAATGCAGATTGAAGGCTTGTCAAGAAAGCATGGGACATTCAAAGAAGAGAAAGGATTTCAGTACGGCTAAAGCTGAAACTAGGATGAGAGTGGTAAGAGATGAAGTAGATAGAAATCATGTGATGGTAGGTGTTTTAGGTCATGTATGGAAGAGTTAGCTAAAGTAGTATTTCCTCAGACATGTCTTCATCAACTTTCTCCAAGTCAGATTAGTTACTATCATATCTGTGTTTCCACAGTGTTCACTCATGTGTAGTAAAAATACTACTTCCTACAGTAATTCTTTTGCATATGTATAGCTCCCTCCTTCACTCCCATACATTCATTGTTGTTGTTAGGTGCCATTGAGTTGTCTCTGACTCATAGCAACCTTATGTACAACAGAACAAAACAAAAGTTGATGGTCTGTTCCACAATCAGCTCCTGGCCTTGTTTTGGCTGAAGATATTGAGCTTTTCCATCGCTCTTGCCAATGGTAGTCAATCTGACTCCTATGTACTCTGTCTGGCAAAGTCCACATGTATAGCTACCATTTGTATTGTTGAGAAAACTTATTTGTAATGAATAAGTCATTGCTCTTGTAAAATTCTATCATGTGATCTCCAGCATCATTTCTATCACTAAGGCCATATTTTCCAACCACTAGTGATTCTTCTTTGTTTCCAACTTTTGCACTCTAATCACCAGTGATAAGTAACATATTTTGTTTGCATGTTTGGTCAATTTCAGACTACAGAAGTTATAAAAATTTTCAATTTCCTCATCTTTGATTTTGGTGGCTTGTATGTAAATTTGAATAGTAGTAGTATTAACTGATCTTTCTTATAAGCATATGGATATTTTCCTATCACTGATAGCATTGTATTTCAAGATGGATCTTGATACATTCTTGATGGATCTTGATACATTCTTTGTGATGATGAATGCCACGCCATCCCTCTTCAATTTGTAATTTCCAGCATAGTAGATCATGATTGTCTGATTCAAAATGGTCAAAACTAGTCCATTTCAGCTCACTAATGCCTAGGATATCCACGCTTATGCATTTCATTTCATTGTTGACAACTTCCAATTTTCCTTGGTTCATTCTTTGTACATTCCAGGTTGCAATTATTAATGGATATTTGCAGCTGTTTCTTCTCATCTTGAGAAGTGCCACATCAGCACATGGAGGTTCCAAAGCTTTACTCTATCCACATCATTAAGGTTGGCTCTACTCTGAGGTGGCATAGTGCCTAAAGCACTTGACTGCTAACCAGAAAGTTGGTGGTTGAAACCCACCCGCCACGCCTCAGAAGGAAGATTATGCAATCTACTTCCATGGAGATATTGCCTCAGAAACCCAAGGACGGGTCGCTATGAGTCAGAGATGACTCAACAGCACCTAACAACAACAAAAACAACAACTACTGAGGAAGCAGCTCTTCCTCAGTTGCACTTTGAGTACCTTCTAACCTGAAGGGCTCATTTTCTGGCACTGCATTGGACAATGTTTCAGGGCTATTCATAAATATTTCCAGTAATATATCACAAAATGTTTCACTGCTATTCCTAAGGTTTTCACTGCCTAATTCTTTGAGAAGTAGATGGCCTCTTTCTTCTTCCAAGTCTGTCTTAGTCTGGAAGCTCCTCTGAAACCTGTCCACCATAGGTGACCTTGCTGGCATTTGAAACACCAGTGGCATAGCCTCCAGCCTCTCAACAACATGCAAGCCAGCACAGTACGACAAACCAACAGACAAGTTTGTCTCCCTTATTTGTTCCAAACCACTCTGCTCATTTCCCACTGCCCATTCCCCC